AGATTTGCCTCCCTTCTTCTCTCATAACTATAATTGAGTGATACAATTCGACTTGAAGCTATTTCCAATCTGTACCATACAGTATAAATTTTTAAGCAATATTCAACTTCATAATAATCGCATCTTCATGTTCATTTCCTATACAATGATGGATTTGCTTCCTTTTGCTAATCCAGTAATAAAATTTGCTATACAATGCCAGATTTGCTTACTTTGCTCAAATCAGTGAGAAAATTTGCTATAAGAATGATAGATTTGCTTAATTTTCCTAATTGAGTGATAAAATTTGTTATAACGATGGATTTGCTTCCCTTCTTCTTTCATAACTATAATTGAGTGATAAAATTCGACTTGAAGCTATTTTCAATCTGTACCATACAGTATTAATTTATGAGTGATATTCAACTTCATAATAATCATATCTTTATGTTCATTTGCTATACAATGATGCATTTGCTTACTTTTGCTAATTCAGTGATAAAATTTGCTATACAATGATAGATTTGCTTACTTTGCCTAATTGAGTGATAAAATTTGCTATACAATGACGAATTTCCTTACTTTGTCTAATTCAGTGATAAATTTGTTACAACAATGATAGATTTGCTTAATTTGCCTAATCGAGTGATAAAATTTATTATAATAATGGATTTGCTTACTTTGCTTAATCGAGTGATAAAATTTACTTACTTTACCTCATTGAGTGATAAATTATCAGTTGTTTTGATCTTTATCATGATACTTCATGTTCTTTTGCAATTTGGAATCTAAACTTTGCTATACAGTTATATATTTGGTTAATTTGCATAATAGAGTGATAAATTCTTCTTAATTTGCCTAGTTCAGTGATAAAATTCTTCTTAATTTTCAATGTTCATGCTTAATGTTTTTATACAGATGTTCTCAGTCGTCGTAAAAGATTACGTCGTCGAGAAACAAGTTTCTCAAAGAAGATAAAGATTGAAAAATTTGAGTTTGTTATAGAGCCAACAACACATGAAAGTGAAAATCAACTAGAAGTTAAACTTGAATCTAACATTGACAATGAGGAGCCCAAACAGGAACAACTGAAACAAGCTACAGAGCTCCACAAAGTAAGAGGGAAGAAAAAGATTGATGGAAGAAAAACTAGGACTGAACAGACACATGATAATGAAGCAAACTATGTCTACTGTTCTAACGTTCAATCTCTTATCAAAATTTTCAAGACAAAAAAACTCAGAGAGTAGCATTTGACACTATTGAGAAAGACATCTTTTTTCGCTTCTAGTTGATACATTGAGTGAAAACAAGGTTAAAAGAAAAGACTCAATTAAATATGATGATGTGGTTGCAAAAATTTTGCATACTTACCAAATGGATGGAATCACATTTGAAATTGGTGGGAAGAAGCTGAAGTTGAAAAGAAATGACTTCAAGTTAATTTTTGGGATTGCATGTGGACAGAAGAAAATGAATCTTGTATACGGAAGAAAAAATGAGGGAGCTATGGTGCAAAGAACGAAAATAACCGAGAGCAGAATGACAAGTGCTTCAATCCAAAAGTTGATAACGAAACTTTTGAGAAGCGACAACAATAAAGATGTAGAAGATGTCGTTAGGCTTGTGTGCCTTCTGGTTTGTTTGCTTTTGTTGTATCCCGATACTGGGACAACAATTGGTTGGGGGTTCATGAAATACCTTGAGAATATTGACGAAATGAAGTCTTATGATTGGAGTGGTGCAACAAAACTACATCTTACAAGATCAATAACACTCAACATCAACCAAATTGATAGAGTGTGTGGATGTGTGATCATCTTATTGGTAAGTAAATACCTCACTTACAACTTATAAACTATAATATTTACATTTACTAAATACTAATTTATAACATTTTTTTTGTCCTCAACAGTATTAGATATGTGAGCATACAAAGATCATCAAACCAAATGACAAGAACGCCATCCCAACACTAGTTTTGTTTTTTATCAGTGTATAATCTCTTTTTGCTTAACTGAGTAACTAGTTTTAAACATATGACACTACATTCCCTCTTTAATTGGCCCTGTTTCCTAATTCAAATCTTGACATGTGAAACAAAAAGTCAAGCAAACCAAACCAGAATTTCTGACTCAGATTTTGTAATCACTGTTGTATATTTTGACCTTGTTATTGTGGCGCCACATTATGAGTAAATCCCAGTCTTTGATTACAAATTCTGGGCACTTTTTTGGATTTTCAAAACTACTGCATATGATATTGAGAACTTCAACAAATATTGAGATGTGTTGAAATTGAAATAACTGGATTACATGCTATGATGTTGCAGGACATAGTTCACTTTCATTTTGTTAGTGGTGAAGCCTCATAGAGCTCTTGTTTGATGTAATTTATTATGTAATGGACATCTTTCATTACAACTATGGAATGGAGAGAATCATGATATATATATATTAGTAGATATGCACACTCACATGAGTGTACTTGAAATAAGCAGTATGGATATATAGCCTGTTATAGATCATCTATGAATATTTATAGAATGAAAGAGAAGAATAGTATAGATATATTAGGGGATATAAAGATCCATTTCACATGGAGGAGAAAAAAAGGCCTCAAGACACCAATAGATGTGTTCTCTTTATATGTAGTATAGATGAATTTTGCAATGCAGTGATAAATTTCGATATAGGTTGATAAAATTTTGATCACAATGACAAAAAGTTTCATACTCACCACCTATTTAATTTGAAAAAGTTTAAAGTTAAATTAACATTATTTTTTTATTTATATTTGTTAGCACTTGTTGACAACAAAAGATGAGGAAGCAAGAAAGAGAATGCTGAACAAAATGATGCCTGAAGCCATGAAAGCAAGATACCTTCTCTTCCCAATCCACCAAAATTTTCACTGGACAATACTTGTCCTTGACATTGAACAAGGTTCATGGAAATTCTACAATTCCATGAGACCAAATGGAGCAATGGCTAAAGATCCACACTTCAATGTCGCAAATGAAGTGGTAAAAATGTTTTCACTATCAGACTTACCATTCATCCATTACATTAATCCTAATCCATGCTCAATTATACATCAAAAATTTATACAGTAATATATTTATCATTCTTTAAATCCATGGTTTCTCATTAATTGTTTCAATTGACTTTCTAATAGAACAATTATACAAATGTATATGTTGCAGAGAGAGATTATTGACAAGTACATAAAGGATGAGAAGCCAACTCTCATCCACCTTGATAAATTTCAACAGGAGACAGAGAGCGTCATCAACAGCCCACAACAAGAAGACACGTCGTAAGTTTATCAATAACAAAACACTTATTATAAAAAAAAAAAAAAAGAGCAATGAAACCAAATTATAATATTTTGTTTTCAAAATGTTTTGCAGGCTTGATTGTGGAATCATTGTTTGTTATATCATGAGGCAATATGTTTCCAAAAACAACATAATGCCTACTTTTTCCAAGGAACAATGCAATCAATTGAGAGCCAATATGTTAACTATCTTGTTGACTGACCAACAAGTTGCTTAACAACAAAATACCTGATGAAAACATTGATGACTTGCCTCTGCAATAATCAATAGATTTGGAAGAGAAGAAAACAAAAGGAAACACTGATTCATTTGGTTGTTAGAATGTCAATACTTCATACATTTTGCTTGTTTCCTTGTTACAGTGTTACCAGTATTTTGATGATTTTGGTTCTTACTTTCCTCCAATGAATATTACAATGCTTGGTTGTTACAATGTCAAAGTTATGGACAGTGCTTGGTTGTTACAATGTCAAATTTGCTTCAATGAAACATTCAGCCTTTTTTAGCCATATCGTTACCAGATCTGGTTTTTGATATCAGTCTTGTTATCCAAACTTCATTCAAACTATTGATTCTAATTTGAGTATTTGTGTTGAATTTAAAGGTTAATAACAGATTTGGAGTCACTATACTGATAAATTTATTTTTTATAGTATTTTGTTTACACTGATAAATTTATCACTGTCTCAACAAATTTATCACTGTGAACACTGATAAATTTACCACTGTTCAAACAAAAAAATCAGCAACTCTCTCTCTCTCTCTCTCTCTCTCACATTCTTTTTCTCCAATTCAAGTAAACAAAACACTATAAAAAATAATAAAAAATTTACCTAATTGAAAATTAAAACACAAGACTATTACATTGTCCAAATTGGAAGTTAAAATACTATTACAATTTGTAGATATTCCCAAGTTTGAGAATGAATGTAAGAACATGCCATCCTTGGTGATTTCTGAATAATCAAAACCATTTGATACTTCAGTTAAACAACTCAAACATCCAAAGCTTGCTTCTTAGTGACCGCAAAACAGTATGCAGACTGAGAACTTGTTGCTAAACCAGATAAACATGGTAGTTGATCTAAATTTTTTTGCTTTTTAAAGCAGTTAGCACAGCAGATGAGCAATTATGTATTCTAGAGATTTGATCTATACCTTTGTATTGTGGAAATTTCTCCTGGGAAAACTAGATAACTCCAGACAATGATAAATTCATCACTGTAGAAAAGAACATTTGCTTGGATATGACAGTGATAAATTTATCAACCACTGACATAAATGTAATAAACCATCAACTCTTCTCACACAATCAGTGATAAATTTATCATTCTTGAAAATAACAAAATTCAAGAACCACATTAATGGTAAATTTATCATTCTTACAAAAAAATAATCCACCAACTTGTCCAAACCAACCAGTGATAAATTTATCACTTTATAAAACACCAAAAACAACAACTACATTTAACCCAAATCAAATAATATAAATTTGTGAAACTTAATCTTGTAAAAATATCAGCAAAAAATACAATTTATGTTCAACAAATTCCTCAATCATTCAATGCAAGTACCAAAATGATACATCTTTCAAAAAATACTCAATCATTTAATGCAAGTAACACCTCTCAACTCTCAACTCTCAACTCTCAACAAAGTAATTCAATTAAAATCAATACAACTAAAGCAAAGCTTCTTTACATGTCTTCCGATTATGAGTTCCCATCTTCCCACACCTATTGCACCTAATTCTCTTGATTTCGCCCTTAGAAGGTATTCTCTCCGTTCTTGGACGTCCTGCTGGTCTCTTACAAAGAGGAGGTAAAACAACGTCATCATCAACAACTACATTTGGCTTCCACATACTAGGAACTGGATAGATAGAATGTGAATAAGAATCATAATAACTACTAACATGGTAGTAATCATCAAGAAAGTAATTCAGATCTTTCCCACTCCTCTTTATAGCACAAAAACCATGTTTGCAAGGAAAAGAATCAATTTCCCACAATCGACAAGAACAACAACGTTACCCAATATCAACCATAACTGAATGATCCAATTGGATTTCATAAATGTCATCGCTACATTTCTTAACTATCCATGCTTTTGTATCATTAAAAGTTTCTTCCAACTTTTTCTTTGCAAAAGGACAAACAATACGATTCCACTTATTCCCAACTTCTCTCCTTCTTGAAAATTGCTCCATTAGTTTCACCCGTATAGCATCAACAAGACTAGTTGAAAACAAATGGCGTTCATCCCTAATCCATGAATTAAAAGATTCTGCAGCATTTGTGCACATTTCACCATACCTCTTGCCTTGAAAATAAGCGTTATACCAACACTCATTAGACAAATCCTCAAGAAGATTCTCAACACTATGACCACAACGACCCTTAAATTATTCAAATAGCTCATTAAACAACTCAATAGTAGGAGCATATGCACATCTACTAAAAAGAGTAAGCAAATACTCTTTAAATTCACGACTCTTCACTGACAAATAAGTCTTCAAGTTCGCCTTCAAATGCATTAGACAAAAAGAATGAGAAGAAAATGGAAAGACCTCAGCTAAAGCTTTCAGCAAACCTCCATGTCGATCAGCAACAAACGTAATATCCCTCTCCGGAGTCAAAATAACTGATAACTTTGACAAGAACCAAGGCCAACTGTCATAACTTTCACTATCAATAATAGCAAAACATAACAGATATAAACCTACAAACAAAATATATATACACGTTATCAATAACAAATAAAAAAATTACAAAAAGAAAATCAAAACACAAAGTTTATAACATATAGCACCAGCCATAGATAAATTTATCACTGTATAAATATAAAAATTTAAGAAAAGTATACAGCATAAATTTATCACTAATAGATTGACCATACTCAATAATCAAAACTCTCCAGTAACAAAAATGATAGAATTATCACTGTTTTAATAATAATAACAAATAGACACAAAATATACCTTGGTTACCATCTTTTGCCGTAGCAGCCAATAAACAACCTTTGTGTCTTCCTTTCGAGAAAGTTCCATCAAGCATCAACACAGGCCGACAATACTTGAAACCATGAATACATGCCTCAAAAGCGAAAAACAAGCATTCGAAATGTCTTCCTTTACTATCAACATCAAATTCCATATAAAAAACACTCCTCAGATTACAATCATTAGCGGCATCAACATACCAACGAAGATCGTCAAATGATGATGAATAGTCACCAAAAACAAGACCCCTTGCTTTTTCAACACCTATCCAAGCTCGCCGATAAGAAACTTATGTTCCATAATAGTCCTTGAAATCACAAACCACCTCACTAACCGATGTCAAAGCCTTATTACGAATATCACTTGAAATTAGCCCACCAATCATACTTGAAGTCATCCTAGCATGTTTAACTGTACGAAAAGAAGATCCACAAGTATGAACATCATCAAATTGTTTAATAACAAAAGCTTTACTATAATTTTTCACTCTAGCATGCACGCTCCATAAACATCCCAAATTAGTCCTTTTCTTACAACAAACAGTGACACGATTCTTATCATTCTTAACAAAATCAAAATCAAAACCGGAATGAATAGAATACTTTGACAACGCATCTCGAAATTCAACAACTCCTTGAGCAAACCTTTGTCCCACTCCTTTCATACAATTAACCCACCCATTGGAGAGCAAAGGTTTCCGTTGATTTGAATAAAATGAAGGCAAAAAATCAGTTTCACAAACAACACTACTACTGCTACTAGCTTCAACATCACAAATCATATAACCTTCACCCAAAGAACAACACTGTACAAAAACATCAATACGATGAATATCACAAGAAAGTGCAAGTCCAACCATAATCTCCAAATCCTCTTCACTTTGTAGACCACAACAAGAATATCCAGGCATTGAATACGATATATTCAAAAACTACCAACTAACTCACTCCACTTTGCACACAATTTATATACTAAATCATTGTAATTAAATCCATCATTATACTTGATAACCAATGTCACACATTTAAACTTGCACATAATTAAGAAACAAACAATTCTCCATCACTATAAATCCTGCAACAAACAACAATTATATTTCAGTAAACAACTTAAACACCCCAAAACAAAATCAAATACAGTGATAAAATTATCAACTAACTCAAACACATCCAAAAACCAACGCTGATAACTTTAACAGTTAACACCACCAAAGACCAAGAACAGTGAATAAGGCTTACACTTATTAGACATGGTTTCTCGATTTGAATCTTACCATTACATTATGCAACCTTTTCATCTCTTATTCCCACACTCACTGATAAATTTATCATTGTTGAAAAAGTTAATCCAACAACACCCCCAAAATACTCAGTGATAAAATTAACATTGTATAAAATAACAAACCAGCACCTGTGTTCCATCAAGACAATTTCATAACCAAAAAAAAGAAAAATCTAAAATTCTTTACATATACATATCTCAAAGTTTTCAATATCATGATCAAAATACAAATTCAATCGCAAAAGAAACAACAGGGTAACAACAATATCACAACAAAATCACAATCACTAACTCAAACAAAAAAGAACCAAAACATTGAAATTGAAATTGAAATCAAAATCAAACATACCAGTCAACCTAACTCCACAACATCGCAAATCAGAAAATGTAACTAGACACCAAACGCGAAATCGCAAATAGGAAGATTCATCAAGCACGAAAGCGCAAATTGCAAATCACAAATCGCAAAGATACACCAAGCGCGAAATCACAAATCACAAAGCTCCACAATAATACATTAGCAAATCCTGAAGTTCCACAGAAATCCAAATCACAAACCCATACTCACAACACAATATTTTGATGGAAAATCCAAACAGAAACGTGCCAAAATTTTTTGGGGGGGGTAAAACGGTACAAAAAAAAAGGCTCAGGACCTGTTGGTGCACAAGAGCAAAACTCAAGGCTAAGAGGGGAATAAGTGTAAAAGGTAGGATCGGCCAGTAAAAAACTCTTAGGCTGTGTTTGGTTGTGATTTCAAATCACAATTCCACACTTTAATTCAAGCATGGTGTTTGGTTGTGATTCTCAAATGATGTTTTGAGAACTCTACACAGAACACCTGCGTTGTTCTGTTTTTGACAGATGCGTTTTTTCTTTTGTTGGGGAAAATCTTGCTTGGTAGGACGTCCGGCCGGTCGTCCGGCCGGCTGTCCAGAACAATAATTTTTTTTTTTTTTTTTTTTTGCAATTGATTTATATAATTGAAAAAAATATTTTCTGAAATTTTAAAATTTTTTTATGTGCTTTAAAATAATTTTGAGTTGTATGTTTAGTTATGAGTTGTAAATTTCTGTATCACATATCAAATGTCACATCAACAATTCCCCACTCAAATCAAAACTTTTTTCAAAACTATTTTCAAAACTCTTTGCCAAATAAATTTTGTACACTCAAATCATAATTTCACAACACACAAACTCAAAATACAATTCATACTCTCAAATCACATTTACAAAACACAACCAAACGCAGACTTAATTTTTTTAGATTGGGCTTGGAATTTGAGATCATTACTTGGCCCAGCTTGCCAATGTATATATAGTATTTTTATTTTTTAACAACATGCTGAAAAATATATAAATATGGTAAGGTTTCATCATTTTCATCTAACTTAACTCAGTCTGTTATCTATGTTAATGCTGAATGTTGAATTTAGTTTCATCATTTTGATAAACTGGTCCGACTCTGGTTTTGGTTTTGAAGATAATGGAATTGTTCAAATTGGTCATATTCTCAATTACGGTTCCGAACCTAATTAACAGAAAAGATAATTTTTTAACTACTAATAAAATTATCAAAATTAATTTTATAATTTATTAATAAAACAAATAATTTATTATGCATTTAAAATTTTAAAAAGCTGAAATGTAATTTTTAAAATTATAAAAAATAATTTATATTTTAAGTAAATTATAGTGATGTGTTTGTAATTTATAGTCTTTTTTTAATTTATTTTGTTTTTTAAATTCCAGGCATTTTTGCCCAATGTCATCATCCTCTCTCTCTGGAATGCGACAGAAGATCCGGATTCTATATTCTATACCTCTCTTTCCTTGTTTATATATGTTCAGTATGTTACTGTATTGCTGTTTCACCCACAACAATCTGAGCATATAACAGTGTTTTTGATTGACAGGAAATGGTAGATTTGGGGTTTGGAAGGACTGCATTTGGTTGGTAAGACTCAGTTCTATTGCAATCTGGTTTCTCTGTTCTCATTTCTACAGATCTTGGAAGGTTTTTTTTTTTATCAATGTTTCTATTCATTTTTTTTATTATTTTATAATTTGACCCTTCTGATTTCTGCATCTGCTTGGACTGTGCTTGCCTTCCATTCTTAAATCAATTGGCTGAATTATAGTGGTTCTGCATTTGTTTGGTTATGCACTGATCAGATTAACATTCACTTTGTAAATGTTGCAAGTCTCATACATTGCTTTACCATCTGGGTTATTGAGGGAGTGTTTTCTGGATACAGCTCATTGTAAAATAGGGCCTTTTTTTTATTGCCTACTAAGGGCTGTTTGGTGCTGCCTATATGAACTGTTTATAAAGTTTTTATTTTTATTTTTAAAAGTATGTATCAGATTGTTTGAAATATCTTTTGATTATAACTTATTAGACTCAAATAATTTAGATAAATTCAAAAAAAAGTTAATTATTGCAAAGTTGATGAAAATGTGCTTTTAACTTTTGCTTTTTTGACTAATGGGCCCATTGCTATGCTTATACTACACAACTTTCCATGGATAATTGGGATAAGCTGCCTTTGGAATGGATGCTTGCTTAATAAAATTTCTAGACATGTTTTGCCCTCGAGGTTTCCCTGAAGGGACATACCCCCTTTATTGAATTCTATATATTTGGTTGAGGAAGACCCTCTCAACAACCCGAAGGGGTCCCTAGGCCTTACTCTCGACCTTTGTTGGTATGGGAGCATTTGCATTACGGATGGCAATTTGAAACCGATCCGACGGGAACCCGATCCCCCGACTCCTATTTGAATAGTTTTTTTTCGAAAAATATCCCCGATAAGATGGAAATTGTATTAAAAAATTAATTCCCAATCAATTTCGGGTCAGGAACGGTGATAAGTGTCCCGGTTCCAGCCCCGTTTGTCCCCAAAGTGGTACATATATATATATATATACTTTTTGATTAGTTTTTCTCTCTCTCATTCATTTCATTTTTTCATTTCATATCTTCTCTCTCTCTTCCTCACCTCTGAATCAGAGGCTCTGTTCTCTCTTTCTCTTTCTTACCTCTGATCTCTCTCTCTCTCTCACTCACTCACTCAAAGAGAGAGAGAGCACTGAATCAGAGTTGCCGCGATGCCAGAGCACTAAATCGATCTCTCTGTGCCGCGATGCCAAAGTCGATCTGAGCATATCAATCTCCCTCTCTCTACTTACATCTGAGCAGATCAATCTCTCTCTCTCTCTACTCAGATCTCTCTTGCACCAGATCGATCTCTCTGTTGTTGATGTTGGTCGATGATGTTGTTGTTGATAATGTTTGTTTGTTTGTTTTTTTTGATCGAATGTTGATGATGTTGAGGACGTTGAACTCGTTGCAGCTCTGTTTGGGTTTTGTTTTGTTTTTTTTTTTTTTTGGTCCGTGAAATTTTCGGGATCGGCCGTTAGGGGGCGGGGACGAGGATGGTGATAGGTTTCCCCGTCGGGGATCAGGGCCAGAGATGGGGAAATGTTTATCATCGGGGATCGGGGACGAGGAGTGCGATCCCCGGCCCTGGCCCGTACCGTTACCATTCCTAATTTGCATTAGGGTGTTGTTGGAGAAGAGGGATTAAGGCAGAGGAGAGACACACGTGGTCAGAGGGTCGCCCGGCCCTATTAAGATGTTATCCTCTAGGTGAGTATCAAGAGTGCCTCTTGCAAGTGTGGCAAATAAAATATTTCAATGGGCCAATTTTCATCCCACAAGGTTGACACCTGGACTAGACCCATGCTTATAGAGGGGGAATTCTATTTACACCTAAAAAATATTTAAATGAGCCCAATTTTTTAGTACATTCTATTAAATTATTTAGGATTACAATTTATTCTTAGTACACTTTATTTTTTTTTCCAAATTACCCTTTTGAGGTACATTTTGAAAAACTTTTCTTTTGTTCATGTGCATATAGAACCCGACACCAATGAAGGTAGTACCAGCGAAGGAAAACGGCAAAGTAAGAACATACCGATCACATCATTGATTTAGCAACATCAAATTCAGTAACACCAATAATTTTTCTTCTTTACCAAGTTGAAATTAATTAGAGACGTGAGAAATATAATAATGATGGCCACGACTATTGACAAAGCAAATAGTGCATTGTTGGGTTGTATGCTCTTTGAACAACCTTGATATTATTGAGCAACCTGTAGCATAATACAAGTATATGACCATGAAAATCATTCATTTTTCAATTTTTTTACTGGGTACTGATTTTTAAATTATCGTTCTTGCTCTTTGAACGACTATTTTTTTCAAAATTTCAAATTTCAATTTTTTCATTACCAGCTAATTGGTCAAGTAGGCCTATGTACATGTACCTGGAAAACTGTCGTGCACTTGTCAACTATTAAAATCAAAATTATTAGTTTTAGACACTCAAGTCAACATTGTTCCTGCACCTAACTCATGTCATTTATAGCACCGGCAAATCAAAAAAAAAAAAAAAAAAAATTAATAACAATATGGAGACAGACAGATTACACACTGATAATACAAACACACATATATGTATATACATAAATGGCGGAATCTGATCATCTCAGATCTGAGATGTGAGATGTAAGGGCTGCAGTGGTGTGGAGGAGATGGGATCTACTCAGATCTGTC